TATTTTTTTGAGTTGGAGTCTCACTCTTGTCACCCAGGCTGGAGTGCAGTGGCATGCTCACAGCCACCGCAGCCTCGATCTGCTAGGCTTAGGCAATCCTTCCGCCTCAGCCTTCCAAGTAGCTGGAACTACAGACACACACCACCACACCCTGCTAGCTTTTTTGTGATTTATTGTTGAGATGAAGTCTTACCAAGTTGCCTAGGCTGGTCTCGAACCCCCGGGCTCAGGCAGTCCTTGCACCTCAAACCTCCCAAAGTGCTGGGATTATAGGCTGAACCACTGCACCCGGCCTGAAGCAGAACTTATAATAAAAATAATCATTGGTGTTGGCAAGACAGAAAATCAAGCGAACTATTAAGTTATCCCTAGGTTCGTGTTTGTCAGAAATAAAGTCTTTGAGGAACTGTGATCCATTTTTGGTTTCTTGTATTCATTTATTTTTTTCAAATATTAATTAACCACCATCTATGTGCCAGGCATCATGCTAGATGATGGAGCTTCACCAGAACAAAACAGATAAAATCTACCCTCTGTCTGGAGCTTACGTGGATTTTTTTCTTTTGACAAACTATAAGACTCATAAAGGTATCTAGCTTTAACAGCGCAGAATGAAAAGGTCACATGGGTTTCCTTATGGCAGCATTAATGTTATCAGATGTGGAATTAAGCAGTGAGGTTGTACTGGATGTGTACTGTAGAAAGGATCTCACAATTGGACCACTTTTCCAGATGATTTCCTCTTTAAAGCTGGAGTCTGTGCTGTTATGTAGGAGTGCAGCCAGCATAAATGTGAAAAGGAATGCAGAACACTATGAAAAATATAAAGTACTGTATCTAATCAAACTTTTTTTTTTGTCAGAAACCCTAATGATGACAAATATAGATCTATCCGGATTGGAAACACAGCTTTTTCTACTAGACTCTTGCCTGTCAGGGGAGCCGTGGAATGTTTATTTGAGATGGGCTTTGAAGAGGTACGTGTTTTAAAGGGTTTCTCCTCCCCTGTTCATAAACAAAGCAGTCGCTATCATGTTGGTGAATACTTGTTTGAATAAAATAGGTTTTTTAATTAATTGATAACTTTAAGAATCTGTAGAATTGGTTATTTCTTCACCTGTGAGACATGTAAAAATTACAGTAAATATACTTTAAAATTACAGTCAAATATAATAAATCACCACAGAGAACTTCTTAAAAGTTTTAATTCTTTAGAATAAGGGAGGGTCAATCATGCACACAAGGACCAAATGTGGTTCACTTTAGACTTTTATCATAAACCTGATTTGTGAGCACGCATGAATACCAGTAGGATTCTAAGCACCTGTCTCCACTGAGAAATGAAACAACCTGAAATAAACTCAGAAAAGCTTAATTCAGTTGCCACACAGAAGGATTTTCTTCTGTAACAGGAGAGGCATCTCAGAGTGTTCTTTTGTTTTAATTTCAAAAGAAAAGTTTGATGTTTTCATCTTCTAGAATCTTGTGTTTTAATTTATAATACATTGAAAATAGTTACTAAGATTGTGATTTTCAGCCAGGCACAGTGGTTCACACCTGTAATTCCAGCACTTTGGGTGGCTGAGGCAGGAGGATTTTGCTTGAGCCCAGGAATTCAAGACCATCCTGGGTAACATTGCAAGACTTCATCTCTACAAAAAAAAAAAAAATCAAAAAATTAGCCAGGTGTGGTGGTGCATGCCTGTAGTTCCAGCTACTTGGGATGCTGAGTCGGGAGGATTACTTGAGCCCAGGATTTTGAGACTGTGGTGAGACGTGATCACGCCACTGCACTCCAGTCTGGGTGACAGAGCGAGATCCCAACTCAAAAAGAAAAGATTGTGAGTTTCCTTTACGTTTATATCCTTGACTATTTCTAGTTTGTGTATTATTGAAAAGTTGAACAGGTTATGGAGCCTTGAAGTCAGTGGCAGTCAGAACTGGCAGTTGTGGAAGTTGTTTGAGATGAGCTGAGCTGCTGTAAGATGCACTTTGCTTCCTGCCTCTCTGCTTTCCTCCCCAGGTTCCATGGCAGGCCCTGAGGTAACAGGGTACCTAGTAGTAGATGCAATCTCATCTCACGCAGAGCTTGCATTTTAATAGGTTAACCAGACAGTAAGTAGACATGAAAGCAAAGAAGAGAAGTATGAGAAGAAAATAAGACAAGGCAATAGAGTAAGAAGCAAACTAGAGTGGTAGGTAGCAGTCAGGGAGGCCCCTCTGAGGAGAGGACATTTGAGCTGGAACTTGAGTTCTGAGGGAGCTAAACTCTCAGGTAAGAGCATTTCAGGCAGAAGGATTAATGTGCATAGGTGGCATTGCACAGAAAGGTGCTGCAGAGTCAGTCTGAGACCAGGACTGCATTTTGAGGACTGTGGCAAAGACTTAGACTTTATTCTAAGTGAGATGGGAAGCCACTGGAAAGTTTAAGTAAGGAGGAATGTTCTCTTTTTGGAGTTTTTTTGGTTTTTGGTTTTTCTTTTTAGTTGGGGTCTTACTCCATCACCCAGACTGGAGTACAGTGGCATGCTCATGGTCACTGCAGCCTTGACTTGCTGGGCTCAGGCGATCCTTCTACTTCAGCCTTCCAAGTGGCTGGAACCACAAACACACACTACCATGGCCAGCTAATTTTTTGATTTATTGTAGAGACGAGGTCTCACCAAGTTGCCCAGGCTGGTCTTGAACCCCTAGGCTCAGGCAGTCCTCTTGCCTCAGCCTCCCAAAGTTCTGGGATTACAGGTGTGAGCCACCACACCCAGTGAACATTTTCAAAGATTATTATAGCTGCCATAAAGAAAATATTCTGGATGTTCTGGGATGGGGGCGAGGGATGAAGCAGGGACACAAGTTAGAAAGCTTATTATATGAGTCTAAATAAGAGATGGTAGTGGTTTATGTAAATTCCATGAGGGCAGGGCTTTTTGTTTGTTTTATTCCCTGTGTTATTAACTCCTGAAATAGTGCATTACAGATGTTAGACTCTCAGCAAACATTTGTTGAATTTAGCACTGGTGGTGGAGTTGGGGAGAAGTAGACAGATTCAGGATTTCTCTTTGTAGCAGAGTCAGCAGGACTCGCTGGTAAATTGGATGTGGGGTGTAAGGGAAAGGAAGGAACCAGAGGCTTCTAGGTTTTGGCTTGTGCTGCCAAGTGGATGAGAGTAGCATTCATTGAGATGGAGAAATCCTGGAGGGTAGCAGGTTTCAAGGCAGAAATCTCTACCTTGTCTTTTGGACAGTTATGACTAATTTACTGTTGAATATTCAAGTAAAGATGCCAAGTGGGCAGTTGGATATATGGGTCTACACCTCAAATGGAGAACTCAGGCTGGTGTCATCTGACTATAGATTATACACGGACATCTAAACATAAAGATTTTAAAATTATGGGCGGGGGGGAAATGAGAGCATTGCTGATTTTGTTCCAGGAAATGCAGATTTTTGAGATCCAAATTGGACAGGAAAATTGAATAAATAACAGCGGTACCCTGTACTCATTTTTCATTGTTGAAGTATCACAGATTCAGTGGAATTAGATTTGTCTTTTATTCAGCAAATATTTGAGAGTTTGTTTGGGATTCCAGCAGGGGAGTGTAGCTACTCTGTACCCTGGACTGAAGAACGGTCCTTCCCTAGCGGGGATGGTCATCCTCTTCAACCAAGCGCGCAGCTTCAAGAGGGACATATGTGGAGCAGTGAGGAAAGAAGGGGATACCTGCCTAGCCAGGTGGATCATCAGCAAATATCTGAGTGCCAAGTAGGGTAACCAGCCATCCAGTATGCTCAGTGCTGTCCTGGTATTGGCACTAAAAACCCCACATCCCAGAAAACTCCTCAGTCTCAAACAGATTGATGGTTGATCACCCCAGCTCCAGATATCTAGCCTCATTGAGAGCAGTAGTATTTGATGCAAAAAGAGGCACAATTTCAGAAAAGGTTAGCATGTTTTGATAAGACTAAGTTATACTTAGGGTTTCTGACTGGCTTTGGACTTCACACCTCAGGAACTGTCAGAGGTAAATGTCTTATCGGTATGGCCAAGTTGCAGGAGGAACTCTACCACCAAAAAGAAATTTGATGGACTTAAAAAAATTTTATAGATACATAATGGTTGTACATATTGATGGGTACATGTGATATTTTGATATAAGCATACAATATATAATGATCAAACCTAGGTTATTGGGATATCCATCAACTGAAACGTTTATAATTTCTTTATGTTGGAAACATTCCAAATCTACTGTTCCTGTTATTTTGAAATATACCATAAGTTATTGTCAATTGTAGTCACTCTGTTGTGCTACAAAGCACTGGACCTTATCCCTTCTCTCTGTGTTTGTGTACCTATTAACCAACCTCTCTTTATCACCCCTCCCCTCTATCCTTCTCAGCCTCTGGTAACCACCTTCTATTCACTACCTCCATGAGATCAATTGTTTTAGCTCCCACATGTGAGTAAGAAAACAGGACATTTGTCATTCCATGCCTGGCTTATTTCACTTAGCATAGTGTCCTCTGGTTCCATCCATGTTGCTGCAAACAACAGGATTTTCTTATTTTTTATGGTGGAATAATATTCCATGGTGCATATATATACCACATTTTGTTCATCTATCTATTAATGGATAATTAGGTTGCTTCCATATCTTGGCTTTTGTGACTAGTGCTGCAGTAAACATAGGAGTGCAGATACCTCTTTGATATGCTTCTTTTTTCTTTTGACCTTATACCCAGCGTCGGGAGTGCTCCATCATATGGTATTTCTCTTTTTTGTTTTTGAGGAGCCTCCATACTGTTTTCCATAGTGGCTGTACTAATTTACATTCCCATCCCCAGTACAAGGGTTCCCCTTTCTCCCCATCTTTACCAGCAGTTGTTATTTTTTGTCTGTAGCCATTTTCACTGGGGCAAGATGATGTCTCATTTTGGCTTTGGTTTTCATTCCCCTGGTGATTAGTAGTGTTGAGCATTTTTTAAATATAAATTTTGGTCATGTTTTTGTTTTTTGAGAAATGTCTATTCAGATCTTTTGCTTATTTTTAATTTTTTAATTTTAAAGATGTGGGGTACAATTCAGGGTTGCTTTTTTTTTAATAGGATTATTTGATTTTTTGATAAGTTGTTTGAGTTCATTAAATGTTCTGATTATTCAGTCAAATAGTTTGTAAATATTTTCTCCCATTCCATAGATTGTCTCTTCACTTTGTTGATGTTTTTCCTTTGCTATGCAGAAGCTTTTTAACTGGATGTGATCTCATTTGTCAATATTTGCTTTGGTGGCCTGTGCTCTTGAAGTCTTACTCATGAAAACTTTGCCTGAACGAATGTCCTGAAATGTTTTTCCAGTGTTTTTTTCCAAGTAGTTTCATAGTGTCAGGTCTTACATTTAAGTTTTTCATTCATTTTGATTTTATTTTTGCATACAATGAGAGATAAGGGTATTGTCTCATTCTTCTGCATATGGACAGCTAGTTTTGTCAGCAAGATGGGCTTTTGAAAATGAAGCCTAAGACCTAACCCAGAATTTTCAACTGTAAATTAAAATCGCGGACACTTTAGGATCACTTGTCTCTGAGTCTGCTTTTTTTTTTTTTTTTTTTTTTTTTAATTAATGAAAATTCTGAAAGTAAGGTTGAGAAAGACAGATCCAAACGGTGACCCTGTAGTTTAGCTTAGTGGCATAGTTCTTAACTAAGAGTTATACCTACCCTCCACCTGCAACCCCTTCCTCACTCTGGTGAGGGTGGAGCATGGGAAACTTGTCAGGGCAGTTTTGGTTGTTTCAGTAACTGGAAGATATTGTCAGCATTTAGTGGTCAGAGGCCAGGTTTGCTAAACATCCTGCAATGAGAATTGTCCAGCAAAAATACCTTGAGAAACAGATTTGTTGAATACTAGAATTCCTGCTGATTTCTTAAAATGCTGTTGAACTGAGCATATTTGCCCATAATTTTGTACTTTGATGAAAATACAGTGCTGTTGCTTCATTTTTTTTGGTACAGACACTTTAACCATAATTAATTATTCTTTTAGGACTGGTTGGGAAGAGATGGAAGGGATGGGAGCAAAGCGTGAGCAGCGTCTCTGTCTTACTTGGGTCCTCTCTGGGCTGTGCACTGAGACCTGTCATGCTGTTTTCCTCCTCTGTGGGTGCTGCTACTGGCCTTTCTCAGGGTTGTTCCACTAACAGTATGTAGTCAGATGCCCCCATATTGGGTTTTAAACCAGATGTCTGGCTTCTCTTCCCAAGCCTCCTCATAGATATGAGGTAGTTCCTTTCCAATGTTGGAAAGTCGTCTTATTCCGATTCATCCTGTCTTGTAATCATTACAGTTGTAGAGCTGTTCTCTGCTCATCCCTTTCAACTGTTCATACAGGTTTGTGACTTTTAGTCTCTGTTAGTCTAAGATGGAGCCAGTGATGGCATAATGATTAAGGCCATGCAGTTTGAATCCCTGCTCTGCTGTAGCTTCAGGCTGGTTATTTAACTTCTCTGAGCCTTCGTGTATTCATATAAAAAGTGGGGCTAAACTGTAGGTGTTTGTTAGAAGTCCTTGAGATAATGTATTTAAAATGCCTAGCATGGTACCTAGAACATATACACAAAAGAAATGGTTGTAGTCTTTTTGTTTGTTTGTTTGTTTTGAGTCAGGAGTCTCATTCTGTTGCCCTGGCTGGGGTGCCGTGACACGCCCATGGCCACCCCAACGTCAACCTGATGTGCTCAGGTGATTCTTCTGCCTCAGCCTTCCAAGTGACTGGAACCACAGACGCGTGCCACCATGCCCAGCTAATTTTTTGATTTATTGTAGAGACGAGGTCTCACCAAGTTGCCCAGGCTGGCCTCAAGCCCCTGGACTCAGGCGATCTCTCGCCTTGGCCTCCCAAAGAGCTGGGATTACAGGCTTGAGCCACCGTGCCCGACCCAGTTGTGGTGCTTTTTACAGCATTTGTGTATACTACATGGAGCTTGCTGGTCTCTTACAGCTTTTAAAAAGGATTTTTATAGAGTTGAGTTTCATGTCGTTATTGAGTAATGTCTTGTTCAGTTAATTGCTGTAGGTCTGCCCTCATCAGGGAAATGAGGTAAAATTCTCAATTGTGGAGTTTAATTTAGATGCTCATGTTGTACAAGTTTGTGAACTGTATGTTGTAACAACCTTTAATCTCATCTGCAGTTGGCACAATTACTGTTTTAACACTGTTACTCCTCAACACCTTGTGACTTGATTAAATAGATTTCCATTTCACCTTTTTCCTTGTTTTGTAATTTGCTCCCTATACATTATGGGTTTTGTTGTCATGTTTATTTTACCTTAAAGTATTCACATCATACTATGTGTATTCATTGAATGAATCATTACTCAGAGATACGATTTTTATTGTTTGTTTTGTTTGGACCACCTTCTTACTTTTAGCAGTGCATAGGTTTGTATTGACTACCAGGTTGTACTTTCTGTTATCTTGGAACAATTAGTGGACCCCATACACAGACTTGCAATCATGTAACTATTCTTTAAAGATTTTGATTTAGAAGATTCAAAGATTGTTACATAACTTCCTGTTGGTTTTATGTGGCCCCTGTTTCTTTAGTATGACTGAATCTCTACTGTCATGATAGAGAAGTATTGTATACCTTTGCAGAGAAGAGACAAATGTGCATTTTTGCAATCCTTGCAAGGCTTTCTGACTTATTATTGCTAAAAGATCAAATATTTTTTAAAGATCCTTTTAACCACATTAAATAGGCTAAGGATTACACACTAACAAGGAGACAAGTTTTCTTGTTTTATGTTTAGGCATTTTTTGCCATCGTATTTAAAAAGTGCCATAATGACAAGAGAACAGTATGATTTTTAAAATATGATACATGCTGTCGTTTTAGTATATATATGTGCATGGCTGCAGTATAAAGCAAAGGTTAACTTTTTTTCTTATTTTATAAATTCCAGGGAGAAACACATCTAATCTTTCCTAAAAAAGCTTCAGTAGAGCAGCTGCAAAAAATTCGCGATCTGATTGCCATAGAGAGAAGTAGCAGATTGGATGGTTCAAATAAGAGCCACAAAGCAGAATCATCTCAGCAACCCACAGCCAATACCCAGCTTTCTACGGCACAGTCTTCAGATCCTGATGGGCTCACTCAGAAAACAAGGAACCATCAAGGGCAGTCATCAAATCCACCGTCTACTCCAACGGTAGTATTGGAATTAAACCTTCCTTCACTGTTCCTTTCAAAGTGTTGAAACAGCAAAAGCTTTGGAATATGTTATGAATTCCTGAGTTTGTGCCCCACATACTTTTGGTTCTTACAAATCTGACATGTAGAAGTTTCCTCAGCTCTTTAAAAAATTGTCAAATTTGTAGCAAAAGTAGGAAAAATGGTCATTTTTTAAATTTATATTTTTAAATTCTTAGCTTATGGCTTATTGTTTCTGAGGCAACTTAAGTTATGTTTAATTTGTCACCTACAAATGTGTCTGTCACCTTGGTACTTAAATCAGTTATACAAATTAGCATATGTCCTTTATCTAGAACAGAATAATAGACTTGGTGACAGGGGTATGGCCATCAGATTAGTAGATTCCTTCTAGTGTCTTGGCACTTCTGATCTAAACTGTACGACTGCCGTTCACAATGAGGATTATTACTTCCAGCAGCACAACCATTATCAACATCTTAATCCGATAAAAAGTCAGCTTCTTTGTGTTTGACGCAAATGAGAATGCCACAGTAACTTACTGATAGTGGATGCCAGCAAATTAGTACAGTTTAGTCATCGGTATACACAAATATATACTTCTGAAGAACTGAAACCAAACTTCTGATGACGTGCCAGGCATTCTTGGTAAACCTAAATGATCCCAATTTTTACTCTCAGAAAAAAATTTTGTTATATTTCTGTAGTCATTTTATCAGTAGCCAGCTTAAGCTCATATTGTCTTATTTTAATTTTGGTAGAACAGCTTGTTACTGTCCTTAATTTTCTGTAGTTAAATAATTCCAGAGTCCTTAATCCTTTCTCCTTCCTACTCAAGTGACTGGTAGGTATTCCTTTGTCTAGGTTGGGAAGTGCCCAAGCTTCTTTTGAGAAAATAAAGAATAAAGCTGGTAAGGTTTGGCAGGAGAAGAGACAGAGTTACTGTTTTTTTAATGTCATTCTCGTTGAGTGATTTCTAAACCTTTTCATGGAGGAATAAATTCTCTAACTCCTCTTTTGTGTCTCAGTTGACTTACGTTAACCTTTACATCTTTAAAATAATATCTCCCCAGCCAGGCGTGTTGGTTCATGCCTGTAATCCCAGCACTTTGGGAGGCCAAGGTGGGAGGATCACTTCAACCCAGGAGTTCGAGACCAGGCTAGGCAACATAGCGAGACCTTATCTCTACCAAAAAAAAAAAATTATTTCCTATTATTAGTTTCACAGGCAGTGTTTGTTTACAATAATAACAAACATAGTGTTTATGAATGCTTCTGAGAAACTTTTACCAGAGACCACTGGATCAACTAATAATGATGCTGAGTGGCTGTTGGTGTCTGATGAGAGAGTACACATGAGAGCTTTGTAAACTGTGAAGAACTAACAAGTTTGCTGATAGTAATAATTCTATGAAGTATCAGATCTACTTCATTTAGTATGCAGTTGTCACAGTCACAGAAAAGTGAGACTGCTTAGCTCTAATGTGACAGAACAGTAATTATTATTGTATGCCCTAGAACAATGGTTTCTACTGTTTTTTGATTGTGCATCTTACTGGTAATAAAATGTTGAGTATATAACCCGGTGGCTACTCATTTACAGATTAGACGCTTATATGCTGATATGTACCTTACGCAGCAATCATGCAGAAAATTAAAGAGTGAAATAAAAAGTAAATCTAAGAAGCACCCCTGTGGATTCCCCTGCCCCTTCCTGGGAACATGTGTATTCCATCTTGGAATCCTTAGTTCTTCATCGGTTTTCAGTTATGGCTGATACAGATATAAAAACTCACTTAACACCTTTCTAGGTTTAACCTTTTCTTAGGTGTTTTCTAATTACAGCGTTAGAATATATCTTTTAAGATTTCCTACTTTATCTTTTTAATCCCAGTATTACATTTTAAATGGACACTGTGAACTAATCTTAAAAAAATCCTGAGAAAAACTTACTTTACAAAATATCTCTCTCCTAGACCAAATACTATGTTGTGGCTCAGGAAATCCAGTCATGTATTCTGTATCTTCTTTATCCTATAGAAATTCTTCCTTTTTAAAATTTATTTATTTATTTATTTGAGTTAGGGTCTTACTCTATTACCCAGGCTGGAGTGAAATGGCACAGTCACAGCTCACTGCAGCTTCAGCCTCCTGGGCTCAGGTAATCCTTCCACCTCAGCCTCCCTGGTAGCTGGGACTTCAGGCATGCGCTGCCACGCCTGGCTTATTTTTTGATGTTTTGTAGAGACAAAGTCTCACTGTGTTGCCCAGGCTGGTCTAGAAAGAGGGCTAGTAGGTGTGGGAAACCTTGATCCTTTACTAAAGCGGGGAATTTGCCAATCTGGTTTTCACTGATTAATTCTCGTGGTTTGGCAAAATCATACATATTGTACTGTCTTTCTTATAGAGTCTTAAGTATATCTCAGATCAAAAATCAAAATAGTTGAAAGTATGATTAGTGAAGAAAAAGACTCTTTGATCTAAAACAGATTTCACATTTTAAACTTCCATTTGTACTCCAAATAACTTTTATTCTCTTCAACAATTAGCTGCTGCCTTATGTAGCATTAGTACTGGTTTCCCAGCTGCTGTCGTCGCCCTGCAATCAGCAACCTTCTATTTTTATGACTTGTTTCTTTTTGGAGTTGTGCCAATGAATATATTTTTAAAAAGGCAAGAAAATAAACTTTATTGTTCAAGATCGTTTGAGCGCCATTAAAACCACAATGAATGAGATAATTTCCACATTTAAAAAAATTAAATAGAAAAATAAAAATGTTCTGGATGAGTTCTTACCCTCTCGGTAAATGAAAATCTGCATTTAAGAAAAAGATAACACCGTAAGTGCCTCATTTGGTGACTCAGCCTGTAATCCTGCACTTTGGGAGGCCGAGGTGAGCGAATTGCCTGAGCCCGCGGGTTCGAGACCTGCCTGGGCAACTTGGCGAGACCTCATCTCTACAATAAATCAAAAAATCAGCCGGGCGTGGTAGCGCGCACCCGTAGTTCCAGCTACTCGGAAGGCTGAGGCGGAAGGATCGCCGGAGCCCAGCAGGTCGAGGCTGCGGTGGCCGGGAGCGGCCACTGCACTCCAGTCTGGGCAACAGCGTGAGACTCCAACTCAAAAAAAAAGAATTCCTTCAGCTACAAATAGAGACAGTTCTCTCTTTTTTTTTTTTTTTCCTGTTCCTATGTCGATTCTGGTAAAGGAGCATAGTCCTCTTCCTTGTGAATTCCTGGGAACTTGCCATCCCCAAACCTGTGTTTCTTCTGTCAACTGTGGCACTCGCTCGTCCATTCTGTACTGGGGTGACACAGTGTCCTTTAGCAGAGGCCAGTCTGTCCTCAGTCCCTGTATTCCTTCTCTGGTCACCGTGGAATCTCACAGATGGTTCACAGTCTCAGACCTCCTCTTTTCTTGGGGATGCCTACCAGTGGCATTTAGACCTTGTTTTAGGCCAGCTTTTTTTCTTCACCTCCAAATTGGTGTCTCACTCTGTCACTCAGGCTGGAGTGCAGTGGCATGGTCATGGCTCACCACAGCCTCGACCTCTTGGGTTCAAGTGATCCTCCTACCTTAGCCTCCCAAGTAGCTGAGACTACTGGCATGCGCTACCATGCATAGCTAATATTTTTATTTTTTTCATGGAGATGAGGTCTCACTATGTTGCCCAGGTTAGGTGTCAAACTCTTGGGCTCAAGCAGTCCTCCTGTCAGCTTCCCAAAGTTCTGGAATTACTGGCTCCCAGTTGGCCAGTTTTCGTTTAAGGTTGTTCCAGTGGCGTCACATGCAGATTTTGTAACCTAATTCCGGACTGACTGAATCAAAATAGAAGGGGGGTGAACTTGGCAGTCTGCTTTGTGTGTGTGTGCATGTTGGAGTCTCACTCTGTCACCCAGGCTGGAGTGCAGTGGCACACTCACGGCAACCCCAGCGTCAACCTACTGGGCAGGCAATCCTTCCACCTCAGCCTTCCAAGTAGCTGGAATCACAGGGCCGCGCTACCATGCCCAGCTAATTTTTTTTATTTTTATTGTCAAGATGAGGTCTCGCCAAGTTGCCCAGGCTGTTCTCGAACCCCTGGGCTCAGGCAGTCCCCTCACCTCAGCCTCCCAAAGTGCTGGGGTTACAGGTTTGAGCCACTGCACCTGGCCAGAAGTCTGCCTTTTTAACAGGCAGATTAATGTTTGAGCATCTTTCCCATAAACTCTCCTATCTTGGGAACAAGCCAACATACAAATATTCCTGGTCCCCACCTGTCATATGTTTCACTTCCTCTTCCTCATACTCATCCTTGCCTCTGTTTCTCTCAAACTTTTCCGGTGGATCTCCATACTTGAATCATATGCCCCAGCAGTGAAATACTTTTGAACATATACTCTAAAAATGCTTTTGTTTATTTTGTGCTACTGTGGCAACATGCATTTATGTACATCATAAAAATGTAAGGAGAAGCTAAAGAATAAATAATGTTTAATTTTTAAAAATGTGTTAATAGTATATCATTTAATGAGTGGACAAATCCACATTTAAAATCGTTTTGGTAATTTTGAATTTAGGGGGCTAACTTTGTCAGATTTCAGTACATTGTTAGTGATTATCTGTCTTGCATCAAAACGTAGCTGTTGAAGGGCTGGTGCTGACAAAGCAGGTGGTGTATTTGCCCTGTCATTTTCTCCTTGTTCATATGTGCTTACATGACTAGTATTGGCCTCAATGCCTAGAGTGCTTCCTCAGCTTTTTTGAGCCAGGTTGAGGGTTAATTTCATTAAAACTGTGTCATGTAATATATCAGCCCACTTGGCCAGGCATGTGTGAACTGCAGAAGCCTTTCACATGATGACAGCAGGATTGAGGGTGTCACTGTTAACCCATCTATCTTGTGACATGTTCTCTCTTCCCTCAGGGTAGCTTCTCTAGGCTGTGAGGGGGCACTGCTAATCCAAATATTAAATATTATTGTAACATAATTGCTTTACTTGTTGGACAAAATAGAAATAGAAACTCTAATACTTTCTGCTCACACTCCAGTGGACCATTTTGTCCAGCTCTTTTCATGCAACCAAGTCCACTGTGGGTCCCCACCTGTGACTCAGTCTCTTGCAACTTGTTTTCTTTATCAACACGATTCTGAGACTGAGATCTTGCAAACATCGTCAGTGATCTCTGTTACTAAATTTAGTTGACTTCTTTCAGTTTCTTTTTACTTGACTATTCAGTAGTCTTGAGCTCAGTTAGTTATTTCCTGGGTTTTCTACTGCAAGTGGTTCAACCACTGACCCAGTTGCTTGCACATGTCAAAACAATCATATGGATTATCCGTAACGTATTTTTCTCCTTTTCTAACAACAACTGACTCCCTATTGCAATCACAGGACTTAATTCTTTCTACTCTACAGTACAGTCATTAGGACTTGTTGAGTTTACTTCCTACTCCACGGCACAGTCACCAGGACTTGTTATTTTACTTCCTGGGTTCTTTTCATATCCATCCACTTTTGCTCTACCGGTCTATAACTATCCTAGTTTAAGTCCTGGCTTTCTTGGTGTTCTGCAGTAGTTCCTTATGGAGTTACCTGGTTCCTGCCTTCTCCACGTAGCCTCTAGAATGATATTTTGAAAGCACTGATCTGATCATCTTACTTCCTTGCTAAAATCGCTTTAGCAGCATCTCATTACAATGAAGAGCGACCAGAAGGCTCTGGCTGCTTACCAGTCCCACCGGATGCCCAACTTTACTGCTCTACCATTTCCCCCTTAGTTCTCTAGGTGCCAAACACCTGATCTCCCTGATCCTTCAAAATATGCTAAGCATGTCCCCCCCGCACACACATTCCCCAGCTCCTCAGCTGTTCCTTCTGACCCGCATGGTCTTTTCCCTTCCCTCTTTGCTGCCCTCTTCTTGTCCTTCATGTTCTGCCACAGATATTATTTCTTAGAGGAAGCCCAGGTTCAGAACTCTTGTGTCAAGTTTTGTTTTAGCCTTTCTATTTGCTTAATAACACTTACCATACCTCTGAATAAGTTAACTTACCATTATATCCCCAGTACCTAGCAAATAAAAGATTAAAAAACTGTGTAAATGAATGTGGTCAATATTTTTTTCTGTATTCAGAGACTACTTGATCTGTGAGGGTAATGACCTTGTCTATTTTTGTGTCCATTATTTTTTCAGTATTTAAAACATTCACAGAAAAATATTTGTTGAATTATTGTAGTGGTTCTGTCATAATTTGTTTAATGCCCTTTCCCCTCAGACCTTAAATTGATCATGTCTCTCCTATGCATGCATCCCCAGTGCTTAATACAAAATTTCTTTTGTCGTAGTGGTGTTTTTTGTTTTTTGTTTTTAAATCAAGCTATCTCCATTTTGCAGTGTACACATTTAACTCATTCACATTGCTATAATTGCTAAGATGTTTGAACTTATTTGTTTTTCAAGACAGGCCCTCATTCTGTCACCCAGGTTGGAGAGTAGTGGTGACATCATAGCTCAGTGTAACCTCTAACTCCTAGGCTCATGCGATCTTTCCCAGTAGCCAGGATTACAAGCTTGTCACACCATGCCTGGCTAATTTTTTAGTTTTTTTTTTGTAGAATGGAATCTCACTCTGTTGCCTCCCAAAATGCTGGGATTACAGGCGTGAGTCACTGTGCCTGGCCTCTGAACTCATTTCTGACATCTTATTTTGTGTTGTCTATGTCCTTTCTTACTTTTTTTCCTAACCTTTTTGTTTTGTTTAGATCAGTCAGGTCTTTTTCTTTTTTTTTTTTTGAGTTGGAGTCTCACTCTGTCACCCAGACTGGAGTGCAGTGGCCACTCTCGGCCACCGCAGCCTCGACCTGCTGGGCTCCGGCGATCCTTCCGCCTCAGCCTTCCAAGTAGCTGGAACTACAGGCGCGCGCTACCACACCTGGCTAGTTTTTGATTTATTGTAGAGATGAGGTCTCGCCAAGTTGCCCAGGCAGGTCTCGAACCCGCGGGCTCAGGCAGTCCACTCACCTCAGCCTCTCAAAGGTGCGGAATTACAGGCTGAGCCACCGAACCTGGCAGGTCTTTTTCCATTTCTATCCCTGTATGATTTAGGAAGTTAAATATCATCTTTTTAGTTTTCTAATTATTGGCCTGCAATTTTTTAGTATACATTTTGAATTTTATATTTTTCTGCCAACATTTTACAAGATAGGAACCTCCGTTCTCATCCCTTCGCTGCCACCTTCCTTATGAAAAAATTTGAGATTTTCTTTTCCAGTTGTGATTATTTATAGCAGTCAAAACTGAAGTTTTACCAGTTGTTTTTGCTTGACTATTTTTAAATTCACCCCTCCTTTCTTTCATCTTAGATCCTACACTTGTATATCATAACACCATACCCTGTTTAAATATATCCTAAATAATATATCCAGAAGGAAAAAATAGATCTTAGACTCTGATGTACATGTGGCTGTCTCCCAATACTAATGTTATAAAGATTTTGGGTATAATTATTGTATTTCAGTGAATCCATACATTACTCTGTATCTATAAATTCATAAAACCAGTGTTTGTTAATATATGTTACTTTTGTAGCATATAGTGAAAAGCTAATTTCAGTTTTTTTTCCTATTAGATTACTGCTGATTCAACCGTTCTAAAAGTTCTTCAGTCCAACTTTCAGCATGTGCTGGTCTATGAAAATCTTGCTCTCCAGGAGAAAGCATTGGCTTGTATTCCAGTCCAAGAACTGAAAAGGAAATCACAAGAAAAGTTATCTAGAGCTAGAAAATTGGATAAAGGTAGTGGCTTTACATAATCACTCATTGCTAAATATGTATCATTGCTAAATAAATAGAAATACTGAAATACAGTTGACCCTTGAACCATATGGATTTGAACTGTACTGGTCCACTTATAGTGGATTTTTTTTTTTTTTTTGAGTTGGAGTCTCACTCTGTTGCCCAGACTGGAGTGCAGTGGCTGCTCCTGACCACTGCAGCCTCAACCTGCTGGGGA